TGTATAATGGCTATGGATTTTATAACATTTTAGGAAAAAAAGTTCTTGCTTTCCCCATTATTCGTAGAATCAAAGTAACCTTTTTTTTTAATCTGCCATTATTATCTCATGGCATTTCTTAATCTGCCCTGATTTCATGGCAGCCATGTAGAGAAGTGGTCAGAAACGAGAGGAGTTGGGATAACTTTCCACAGGATTTCCAGCCTGCGTAGACAATGTCTAATTCATCAAGAATCCACAAGATCAGATAAGGAACAACAATCTAATCTAAGAGTTACGAGATGGCTTTGTGCATCTCAGCAGGTGATAATACCTGACCAACTTTACTGGGCTTGGAAAGGAAACATGCAGTGGTGGGATTCAGCCAGTTCGGGAGAACCGGTTGTTAACTTTCTGAGCAGTTTGGCACACTGGTTGTTGGAAGAAATCATTACGGCAGAGAACCAGTTGTTAAATTATTTGAACTGGTTGCTAAATTGCCTGAATCTCACCACTGGAAACATGGTTCAACCAGTTAGTTCTTGCCTGCATGAGAGAACATTAGGAAGACTCAGCACCCTATCTCTTAGAAGAAGACAACGATAAACCACTTATCTATGCTGCCTAGCAAACCTCATTGTTCCCCGGAAACAAGTTCTCCCCAACAAACGAAATTAAGACGATATGAAGAAAATGCGGGTCAACATGAATAGCTAGTACATTTCAAACTACTAGACCAAGTTCTTCCTTTCTTTAAGCCCTGGTGGTGAAGTCCACCAATGCAGAGATTTGTTTTGCGTGCTACATCTCCCAGCCATTTTTTTTAATGAACTATTATAATTTTGAAACTAGATGCGCGTTCATTACGGAAAACCTACACTTTTCTTCTAAAGGAAGTCTTTGCTAACCTCGCCCACCGAGGAGCAAATGCACAACTTCCACTCTACTCCTCCTCCAACTGGAAAGTCTGCTTGCAATGAAACAAGGAACCTTCTGATCTTAGTAAAAGGCAATGGGTTCATTTGTGGAGCAACCTCAGAACAACACCAAAGAGGGGGGAGGGGAGAATCCACATCTTGGGGATCTACTTTCAGTGGACTTTTCAGATCAAGTCTATGTCACACTGAATTCAGCTCCTGGGATCTTCACTGTGCATCCATGTTGTTTTTCTTGGAACAAGGAAATGACTTGTTGTGGCATCTTATAGGATGTTTTTTCAACTTCTCCGTTTAGCCTACAGCCTGGGGATTTCAGGGTAACCTCCCATTCCGACATGAACCTAACCAGATCCTGTTAACATTCTGAGCCCAGACCAGTTACTAATTACTAAGAATTTTAAGAAGGTTTTTTTTTTTTCCAGAATGGGGAAAAAGAAGGTCAACTTTCCATGCCCATCCAATGCCATCCTAGTTTTTGACCATGGAAGAATGTGGCAACTCTTTATTTGAATGCATTGGTGAGATGGGCTCGCTACCATAAGATTAAATCTTGTTACTCCTTGTTTAGTCTTGTTACTAAACGCACGGATGGTTAAAGTTATGATTTTCCCGACAGAGAAATAAAGGAAGATTAGTATAGATCTATTTCAATCTATTTAGATAGATCTATACTAGTCTCCCTTTATTTCTTTGTCGGGAAAAACATAAATTTAACACAAAAATAGTTTGTCGCGAAAACGACTGCCTGCAAAGCAGTAGTGGTTTTCACTTACCTTCGCTACCAGTTCAGGACTGGGAGTGCGCATGTGGTGCTTCTGCGCATGTGCAGAGTGTCCGTGATGACGTCCAGGCGGGTAGGCGGAGCCTCCTGCCACCGCCGCTACCGGTTTGCCTGAACCGGGGCAAACTGGTAGAAACCCAGCACTGCTGCGAAGGCCTCTGGATTGGGGCTGAAAGGCGAAAATGGAAGCAGTATGCTCCATCCCATAATTGGGTAGACCAGGTTGCCCTGATAGAACCGGTCCCACTGGAGAAAAAACACACAGATGGTTGTTTTTCCCCCATCCCAACCAGCTCTAAGTAAGAGGTTCCCTCAAACTTGGGAGTTGGGCGGCATAGAGATTTGATAAATTAAATTAAATTAACTCTCAATGCTTTACAATTCATTTTCATATCAACAGTTGATAATAATCTGTCTCACATGTAAAATGCATCTGTATTACCTCTACCTCTATCCTAATTTAAACCTTCTATCAATGGAACTACTCCATGCATCAGATGAAGTGAGCCATAGATCACAGAAGCTTTTTTAATACAATGTTTTAGTCTGAAAAGATGCTGCAAGACTTCTTCTGATTTTTGGCCTTCAACCAAAGGTAACTCCTAATGTTTGAATATAAATCTTGCTTTATTTCCTAAGCATTTAGTTTCATCTTATCTTCCTGCTCGGATAGATTACTGAATGTTGATCATATGACTAAGAGAAACCAAAGTATAAAGACATTTCACTTCCCAGTCCAACCCAGAATCTTGAGATCTTCTGGTGGTTTCTCATCTAAGTACTAATCTGATCCAATCAAAACAGATCCTTAAAATGTATTTATGACAACCTTCCTGCCAGAGAGAAAAGACCTCAATTCCTATAATGTTCGGTCAATAGATCAGAGAAGAATGGACAGCAATATCACCAAAGATGCTGAAGAAAGATCCAAACTGCATCCAAAACCCTTTGTAATATCATCAACTTGATATACACTTAGTCTGCCACATCCTGAAGAGTCAAGGCAATCCATAAATTAGTTAATTTACCCTACCCTTGGCCAGTAAAAATCATGTTTTTTTTTTTAAAGGAAAATGTCTTACATCACTCCCAGCAGAAGACACATGGACTTCCATTTTGGCAAATCCCTAAGAAGAGGAAACTCAAAGCTGAGGTTTAACTACCCCAATACATAGGATTATATCTGTTTTGAAACAGGCTGTTATTGTTTGTTGCCAAGTCGTGTCCGACCAATCGTGACCCCATGGACAACGTTCTTCCAGGCCTTCCTGTCCTCTACCATCCTCTGGAGTCCATTTAAGCTTCAGTGACTCCATCCAGCCACCTCATTCTCTGCCATCCCCTTCTTCTTCTTTGAAACAGGTACAACAATCCTAAAATATTTCTCCACTGATGGGTTAAAACAGGAATGAGAAGGTGAAATATCACATTTACAGTGTGGGAAGAAAAAGGTTCTGTATCTCCTAACACGGGGGTCCTCAACTTTGGCAATTTTAAGACTTGTGGACTTCAAGTCCACAAATCTTAAAGTTGCCCAGGTTAGGGACCCCTGCCTTAACAGGAAGTCTAAATGATCTGAAGACAATCTTCACCTCTTCAAGGTCAAACCAATCCCACCCTTAAATGAAACATCTCTGGAAATATCCAAGAAGTAGGCACTGCTTCATGCCGCTCACACTGCAATATATTGTAAGTCTAATTTCCAACACAAATTCCAGAGCTCAACATTATTTTCAGTTTCAGGATGATTTTTTTTTTTTTTTGGCCTTCTGCTGCAGTTGTACCAGAGACTTTTAACCACCAACCCATCATCACCACCGTCATCGTTGCTCAACTTCAGAGTATTTTAGGTCACTGTGAATACTTTCACTTCATTCTACACGGGAAACCTTGAGAAACGCACTGGTAGCCTAGTTCCCACCCCTGAGTTCTGCTTCAGCAAATGTAGGCCACCACTGTGCCTCCAGAAATCTATCACTCATATACTGCAGTCAATTCAATTTTCCTACCTTTCTTTTCAAAGAATCTGCTGTCAGTCCATCAGATGATGGCCCATGCCTCAAAGTAATGAGTATTGGATTTGTTAGTCAAGAGTCTTTTGCATTATCCTTAAATGGATTTAGTTGGCCATATATTATTGTTTTATTTCTGTGTGCATGTTACTTGTCCCTTTATAAATTTTAGTTGTGTGTGTCTGTCTATATCTATCTATCTATCTATCTATCTATCTATCTATCTATCTATCTATCTATATTTTTAGTTTTGTATCTTGGTCTATTTTATCTCTCTTTTTCGTTCTTAACATGACAGGTGGCTCTCGACTTACGATCGCAACTGAGCCCCAAATTTCTGTTGCTAACCGAGACAGCTGTTAAGTGAGTCCCTGCCCCAATTTTACAACCTTTCTTGCCATCGTCGTTAAGCGAATCACTGCAGATTTTCCCTTTAGTAACGCAGCTGTTAAGTGAATTTGGCTTCCCCATTGATTTTCCTGTTCAGAAAGTGACTCCAGGACACTCGCCATAAACTTGAGTCGGAAGCCGAGCCTCTGAATTTTGATCACGTGACGATGGGGAAGTCGCACCGGTCAAAAGTGTGACAAACCCTGAAGTCACTTTTTTCCAGTCCTGTGGTCCCTTTGAACGGTCGCTAAACGAAACCGTTGTAAGTCGAGGACTACCTGTTTTAGCTGTTTTTCATTCCTCCTCTTCCTCTGCTGGCCTAGGACCATCACAGGGGATCTGATTCTGATCTGATCTGCTGCCCTTTTCCATTTTGCTACCTTTCTCCTCCCAAGAATCTGAGGCCATCTTTCACCTTTGCACACCTTTCTGCCCTAGAAGACTAGTTTTGAACACCTGAACAGCTCTACTTCCCGGATCAAGTTTCCTCTTCTTTTATTTTTTCCCCTTCCCTCTTTTCTTTTCCACCCAAAGCCTAAATCTCTCTGGAACGAAGCCCCTCCAAACGCCAAAATGGGAGACCCAGCCTGCTGGAGACCCCCTGAGATTTCCCCCAGGCTCAGAATCCCTTATCCGAGGACCCCCTTCGCAGCCCAACAAAGAGACGGCAGGGAAAACAAACAAACAAACCAACAACAAAAAACTTGGCCAGGATCCATCACCACTCCGGAATCGCCGGCTTCGCTTTCCAAACTCTTTAAGGAGATCGCTGCTCCATTGTTTTTTTAAAAATAATATTTTTTTAAAAAAAATCCCGATTATTTTTTTTAAAGCCCCCTTTGGCCCCCACCCCGCCCCCACCCCCCAAAAAAAGAAGCAACCAGGAAGTAAAGCGCTCACCTCGGTCTTGCTGCTGTATTTCAGGCCGGAGACCTTCGTTTTGGCCCCCGAAGGTGGGCGATAAATATTCATCTTTCTTTCGGGGTTAGGAAGAGGCAGCCTTCATGGATCGATTAATCGCTTTCCGGAGAGGGGGGGGCAAAGGACGGCGGGGGGGTGGGTGGGATGGGGTGGGGGGGTGAGTGATGATGAGAGACGGGAGAGTCCAAAATCCCAAAAAGGAAAAGAAAGGGGAAAAAAAGAAGAAGGAAAAAATCGAACTGCAGACGACGGGCGCAAAGTCCTCTCCAACTTTTGTCTCGCTTCCAGAGACGCAAAGCTCTACAAAGCCAAGGGGGAAAACCCAGACTGGGGCTGACCCAGACACATCCGGTGTTCGCGCTGCGAAAAGAAGGACGGGTTTTGAAATCTTTCTTTTTTTTTTTTGTTTTCTTCCTCCCCTTTTTCTTGTCCCTTCTTTCTCTCTCGCCTGCTGGAACTGGGTCGCTGGCGGGCGCGCTGCTTCGCTCTCGCTCTGCCTCCCTCGCCTTCCTGGATCGCCCTTTGCGCGCACAGGTGACCCGTGGCGGGGCGGAGCTGCTGTTGCTGCTGTTGCTGCTTGAGTTACCTGGCGGCGAGGGGCCCCGCCCGCTTCTCCTGCTGGCAGGTGAGGGGCGGGAAGTAAGAGCCAATCAGAATAGAGCTGGAAGGGGCCTTGGAGGTCTTCTATCCAACCCCCTGCTTAAGCTGGAGACCTTCCATCAATCAGAATAGAGCTGGAAGGGGCCTTAGAGGTCTTCTAGTCCAACCCCCTGCTTAAGCTGGAGACCCTCGATCAATCAGAAGGGATTCAGATTAAGAGTTGGAAGGGATCTTGTAGGTCATCTAGTCCAATCCCCTTCTGCTCCCCAAGCAGGAGACCCTACACCAGTGATGGGTAAACTTTTCCACACCGAGTGCCCAAAGCATGTACCCGAACCCCCAAAGTGCAATGTGTGTGCAGCCCTCGCGCATGTGCCCCCCCCTGCATGCACCCCAACCCCACCCCACCCCGCATGCACGGCAGAGACCCAAAGACCAGCTGGCCAGTGAGAGGCACGCACGCATGCACGGCGGAGCTGAGCTAGGGCGATGGCTCACGTGCTCACAGAGAGGTCGCTTTGTGCCACCTCTGGCATGCGTGGCATAGGTTCGCAATCACGGTCCTACACCATTTCTTGGAGGCCTCCCAGTCCAACCCCCTGCTCAAGCAGGATATAGCGGCCAGTACGCTCCCATAGAGAGGGGCTCCTCCGGGTGCCGTCGGCCAAACAATGTCAACTGGCGGCCCCTAGGGGGAGAGCCTTCGTTGTGGGGGCACCTATGATCTGGAACGAGCTCCCCCCGGAGATACAAAGGATCCCGGATCTGCGCACCTTCTGTCGCGCGCTCAAGACTTTATTTCATCAAGCTGGCCTGGCCTAATTCTTTTCCCCTTTTTAAATGCAAATTTTAATTTGTTTTTAAATTATGGGGTATTTTAAATTTGTCTCAGCCAAATTATTTAATTCGTTTTTATTCTATTTTAAATTTTTGTAGTTATGTGTTTTATTCTGTGGCTGTTCACCGCCCTGAGTCCTTCGGGAGTAGGGCGGTATAGAAATCCAATAAATAATAATAATAATGAAAAATACCATTCCAAACAAGTCACTGTCCAGTCCCTTCTTAAAAGCCTCCAGTGATGGAGCATCCACAACTTCTGAAGGCAACTTCTGTTCCACTGGTTAATTGTCCTCACTGTTAGGAAGTTTCTCCTTAATTCCCGGTTGCTTCTCTCCTTGAGTAGCAGTGGAGGCCCCCCCGCCTTTTTTTTAAAATTTGATTTATATGCCGCCCTTCTCCGGAGACTCAGGGCGGCTTACAATGCGCTAAGCAATAGCCTTCATCCTTTTGTATATTTATACAAAGTCATCTTATTGCCCCCACAACTGGGTCCTCAATTTACCTACCTTAGAAAGGATGGAAGGCTGAGTCAACCTTGAGCCTTGGCGACATTCGAACCTGCAGTAATTGCAGGCAGCTGTTCTTTTTTTTTTTTTAATAGTTTTTATTAATAATAAAAAGAAAAACACAAAACCAACATAGATACATTGAAACAACATACAAAACGAACACACATCAATTCAGTCCAATGACTGACTTTTAGAAGATATTACAACGGTGGGTTATTTTTCATATTTCTATTTGTATCAATATTTACAGTCACCTATTTACTTAGTTGTATATGTACATATATAATTGACTCCTTATTTACTTCTATGCATTTCTATTGAGTACTCGAAAATCATCTTTATATTCCTATTTTTGCCTCCAGCCAGTTGTACCATCTTTGCCATACTAAATAGTAATCAGTATCATCTTTCTCTTGTATTTCTTTTGTGAGCTTATCCAATTCTGCGCATTCTGTGATTTTAGCTATTATTTTGTCTTCTGTGGGTAACTGTTCAGATTTCCAATGTTGGGCAAAGAGTATACGTGCTGCTGTGAGGATGTGGATGATCAAATATTTTATTTCTTTGGTATATTGTGTTGTGATTATTCCCAATAAAAAGGTTTCCGGCCTCATTTCCAGTTTTTGTTTCGTGATTTCTTCAATCATTGTTTTAATTTGTTGCCAGTATTGTTTTGCCCTTCGGCATAGCCACCAGAGATGATAATATGTCCCTTTCTGTGATTTACATTTCCAGCACATCGGAGATGTATTTGGGAACATCTTGGCTAGGCGCGCCGGTGGGAGGTGCCATCGGTAGAACATTTTGTAAAGGTTTTCCTTGTAGGGTATAGACAATGCAGGCAGCTGTTCTTAATAACAGGGTGCTTTAGACCACTGTACTACCAAGGCTCTTTTCCCCTTGCCCAGGTGGGGGAAGCTGAAGGTGAGATCCCTGAGAGATGGAGGAAGATGGGTGGGGGAGGGGAGAAGGGCTCCTGACAGGAGGGACTTGCTGGGCTGCCAAGGAGAGCTACTCCAGACTGGCCACTCGTAGACGGAAGAGCCCCGTGGGACGCGGAGCAAAGGAGGGGTTGCCTTGGTGGGTTCAGCTGATAAGAGAGACCCCTGGCTCTTTAGCCTGGTCCTCCGTCCCAAGCTGCCTGTCTCTTCCTTGGCTCTTCAGTTCTTCCATGGACAACCCAAGAACTAACAAAATTTTTAGCTCTCTTTTCACCTTTCTTTCCTTTTTCTATAAATAACTCAAGGGGCTGAATATACCCGATACGCCTTCCTCCTCCTATTTTCCCAGCAACAACCCTGTGAGGTCACTCAGCTGGCTTTCAGGCCTAAGGCAGGACTAGAACTCAACGCCAGCACCTTAACCACTATGCAGAGCTGATTTAACTTCCCCATAGAGGTTGCCTCTGTACGTCTGCTGGGCTCACGTGATTTGATGATGGTTTGAATAAACCACACCGGGATGGGATTCAGAGTCACGAAGTGCATGTAGGTATCTGGAAAAGCAGGTCGTTTTAGAAATAAGTTAATAGGGTGGTGGACAAACCATCGTTAGAATTGAGAGGAATCACACATTTCTAGTATGGATACCGATTTATTTCAGGTGGCAATGGTTTGCAGCAAACCACCATCTAAAGCACAGGCTACGATGGGTTGTGGCTTGGTCAATTCTAGCCCTGACCAGTAATATGGACTACTGTATGCCTTGACATATTGTGGGGTAGTTTAGTCAAGGGTAGTTTATTTAGTAAACTGGTTGGATAGTTCTCTGTTATTATTGGAGTAGGCTAATGCAATGTGCTTCCAAAGAGATAGGAAAATACATGACTGGAGAAAACGTAGGTGTTTTTAAGCACTGGCCGTAGTACAGCAAACAAATGCAACCTTGAACTGTGATTCAGGCACGGAACACTTTGGTTGGGCAGGAAAATGGGGGCTCTTTCTGAAATGACTGGCTTCCAGAATTGAAGGCATCCATTCAACCCCTGGGGGGGGGGGTTGAGACTTTGAGGAGTTGTAATCCTAGCATTTCTGCGAGGGACAGCCAACTCTGCTGTTGCCCTCTTGAGCAGATTCTCTAGGGTTAAAAGGCCAGAGCAATGAAGTAAAATAGCCAGTAATTAAAAAATATTCAGACAGCCAATGGTGACAAATTTCTGCCAAATCAAAGATGCCCAGAAAACAATCGGAGGGAGGGAGGGAAGGAAGGAGAGGGGGGGGGGAGAGAGAGAGAGAGAGAGAGAGAGAGAGAGAAGAGAGAGGGAGAGAGAGGGGGGGAAGAGATTAGATATATATTAGATACTGTGTTTCCCCGAAAATAAGACCCTGTCTTATATATTTTTGAACACTGAAATAAGTGCTTGGCCTTATTGCCATGCACTCAAAAGCCCGATTGGGCTTATTATCAGGGGATGTCTTATTTTGGGGGAAACAGGGTAACTAGATAGCTAGACAGACAGACAGACAGATGAGAGATTAGCTAGCTAGCTAGACAGACAGACAGACAGATGAGAGATTAAATAGATAGATAGATAGATAGATAGATAGATAGATAGATAGATAGATAGATAGATAGATAGATAGATAGATATAGATTAGATAGACAGAGAGATGAGAGAGATTAGATATAGATTAGATAGATAGATAGATATAAAGAGATAGAGTTGTGTTTCTTAGGAAAATGATATTAATAATACTAATATTAATTCACATTGCTGAAATTCACTGCAGATTTAGTTTAAAAAGTACCTAGACTACAGGGGGGAAATAGTGTGTGAATGAATGAAGTACCTGAATGAAAAGCAAGGTATATTAAATATATGAAGAATAACTTCAGCATCAGGAGGCATAATTAATGGAAAAGTTAGTCATAGCAGAGGACTGCGTTTCCTAGCAATTTTACGGAATCACTGACTGGTGTATTTACTGCAAGCTGTCCAGTGAGTCCATCAGGATGTCTAACACTGTCTTTAGATCATCCCAAGTATTCATTACACAAGAACATGTTGCTACCTGGAGGGTTTAAAATCCAGTGAGAAAAATATCCAGCCGAAAAGGAAATGCTGGTTGAGGAGTAGAAGAGCAAGCCAGTCAACCAGACAAAACCAGTGGCCTAGAAAAGCTTGAAAAGGAGAAACTATAATGAGAAGTTGACCCTCAGGGCTATCGGGGC